AGGGCGGGAGCACCTCCCATATGAAGACAGGCTGAGAAAGTTGGGGCTGTTCAGCCTGGAGAAGAGAAGACTCTGTGAAGACCTCAGAGCAGCCTCCCAGTATCTGAAGGTGGCCTATAAGGATGTTGGGAGGGGACCTTTCATTAGGGGCTGTAGTGATAGGACAAGGGGTGATGGGCTTAAAATAAACTGGAACAAGTTGCCCAAGGAAGTACTGAATGCTCCAACCCTGGCAGTGTTCAAGGCCAGGTTGGACAGCCCTGGATGACGTGGTCTAGTGTGAGGTGTCCCTGCCCATGGCAGAGGAGTTGGAATTAGATGATCTTAAGGTCCTTTTCAACCCAAACCATTCTGTGATTCTATGTAGCTACATATTTCTCTTCAAGAAGTTTTAAATAATTCTAGAACTTGGTTTTAATAGTTATGTATGAAATCTAAATCCTCTAAAATACTGGGTCCTTGCTTTCACTTCTGTCTTGAGAAGTCATAACTTCTAGTTATTCCTACTATCGTATTTTTATATAAAAAATTTACTGAGAACTTGAAGACATGCTGAAGTGTTTGTGGAATAAAGCTTGATTGAAATATTCATTTACAGTAAAGGGCATGCTTTCATTTATAATAAATATATTTTGCCTAATAAGAATCAGAACATCCAGCATACTTTAAAGTATTTTCTAAATCTCTCTCACATGTTCATGTCAAAACTATCCTTTAGAATAGGTGAATAAGTACAGATTATTGTGAGCCACTGAATTACTGCTTTTCCTGTTGTGGTAAATGAGAAAAAACATCTCAACTTCGACAATGGAACAAGAAAAGGTGACTGGGACTGATTGTATTTCTCCAGTTTCAGACATCTTTGAAACACATAACTCTGTCTATGCTACCAGATTAAACAGTGTTCAGGGACAGGCACTGGATAACTGCCTGAGCTGTTAAACTGTTAGAATGGTCCAAGTTACTCCCTGTTAATTCAAATGCAAATGAAGTTCACTCAAAGTTCCAGGGACCATTTACAGGAGACAATTTGTATGCAAAATCTTTGGAGGCCAACTCTGTTTTCCAGGATAGCTGTAGGCTATTCCAAGCTAATCTCAGTGCCCAGGACTATTCCTCTATGTTAATTTACTAGTATTAATAGAGCTGGAAGGCCAGATCATTCTCCTATAGAAGCTTGTAGTATAAAACAGAGACTATCGTTGTGGACTGTGGGTGCATGGGACCTAACAAAGTGCAGCTCATGGTTTCTCATTTGTCTTTGGTGCTATTTTAAGATGTCTGTAACTAATAATGATTTTTTTTTTCCCCATAATAGTAATATGGGAGGATATTCACCACCACATAGTAGCTGGAAAGGAAATTTGAATGTATCTTACAACGTCGGCCCTGGTTTCACAACAGATTATTCTACAAGGTCAGTTTTGTTTCATAAGGAAAGTGTGCTTGGGATCAGGAAAGACAGGTGGAGCAATAGAATTTGACCAAAGGTAGAGCAGTGGGGGTTGTTTGTATCATTCCTCTGATTATGACCATTTCCTAGGCTGAAATGCGTTCAGTGCAAAGCCTCAGTAGATTGACATCTCGATATGATAGATATGACAGAATTGCTTTATTTTCCAGCTAGTCTTGAACCAATTTCCTTTGAAAAGCCTTTGACAAACTATTTGATGAGACTGATTATTTTTTTGAGAACTGCATTTGTTTGTTGTCTTTTTTAAATTCATGCAGTTCCAGCTTCTGGTCTTGCCTATTACCTTATGTAAAGAGTATTAACCTAGAAGTCAAGTTTTCCAGAAAAAAAGCTTTACCTACAATGTCATTTTTTATTGCTTCAGATTGTTTTAAAACTGATTTAGTAATTACAGTTGAGGACAAAAGCCCAGGTGTTTCAATACTGGCTGACTTACTGTACTGACTTCATATGAACCAGTTGACCTTTTCTGTATGTCTTAGTTGTGCCACATGAAAAAATCTTCCTGAAAAATACATAAAGACCCTTGAGGATGAATTGCTGCACCTCCAGCTGTGTTGCCGATAAACAAAGTCTGTTAATGCAACTCAGCTGGTCTGATTTTCTGCTGCCTGAAGTGCCATGTCAGTATTGACTGTGCTGGAGTCAGTTCTGATTTAAACCAACCTCTAAAACTATTTACCTTCGTAACATTAGATGGTTTTCATTTCTCTTTCACTCTTCCATATTTAAAAATTAGCTGCTAGCAAAATATCTTTGATTCAGAGTTCTGAGCCTGTTACCAGTGTAAATCTTGGCATAAGTAACAGTACTTACAAGGGCTAAATATTGTTCTCAATTGCACAAAGATAAATCCAGAAAAAAAAATATACTGAAATATTTTCAGATTTAGTTTGGCTTAATGGAGGGTAAAATGGTCCTGTTACAATTTATATTGTACACTTTTGAAAGGTGTTGAGATGTTTCTTTGTCTAATCTGCTGGATTTTCTCCTTGGATTTTCTTCCCAATACACTAGAAAGGTGAAAATGCACATTCATAGCAACAATGAAGTAAGAAGGATTTACAATGTGATCGGTGTCATCAGAGGCACAGTGGAACCAGGTAAAGTCATTTGTCATCAGTGTAATGTGAACCTGCAGTGACCTTTACATGTACTTTATAGTTACAAGGGAGAAAAGAGGAATATAGTTTTCTCTGAAATATTGCACTACATGATCACTGGTGTTGAAATATTTATTGCACCAGCTTTCATATGGTTCAGACTATGTCAGCAGTTTCACTGTAAGTGCTGATTTTAAGTGGGAGTCATAACCAAGACAAGTATTTGTCTTCAGGCAAATAATTTTGCAACTGAAAGAATGTTCTTAAGTGATACTCTTCCCTACTAACATGGGATTTTGCATTCCATCTGAAGACATCATATCCACCACTATTGACTTTTTGTCTGTCTTGATTTCTTGTAACCAGTGGGATTTTACACTCTAAATACAGCTCTGTAGACATCCTAGAATGATGGTAACATCATTTAACCTGTAACTGCAGGACTTCCCTGTTGCCTGAAGCACAACTGTTAACCAGATTATAGTAGCGCAGAGATCTAGTCTGATATTAATAATCACATCACTGTCATGATTTGGACAACCCTTTTTGTGATTGACTGTAGGTATATTCAGAGAAATACTGCATTCAGCACGCCTAAATGTTGCGAGTTGGCGTGCTGTACAGATATAATTAGTGGATCAGCTTTACCATGAAACACACTATTGTAAAATATGGAAAGATGCTTCTATCTTTAGAGGAAAGCTGCAGTATTTCTAATAATATAGGTAATATTATGGAATTTAAGAGGGTTTAAGTCTTATGGGATCGAGTTACTGTGACAAATTCTTTAGCACTGGCTGAAAATGCAGAAGAATGTCTTTGGAGATTTAGAAGATTTAATGTTTTTTGCCTTTCTATCAATCATGTAAATTACAAACTATTCAGCTTTGCTGCCTGATACCTGCACAGAAAATTAGAAATTGCTTCAAATTAATATCTCTGTGGTAGGAAAAAAGTTCTTCTAAGTAAACCTCTGTAATGAATTTCTCTAGACAGATATGTCATCCTGGGAGGTCACCGTGACTCATGGGTATTTGGTGGCATTGATCCTCAGAGTGGAGCAGCTGTGGTTCACGAGATTGTGAGGAGCTTTGGGAAACTGAAAGGGAAAGGTAATGTAATGAAAGAGTAAAGCACACCAAAGCCACTGCTCTTAGCAGTACAGCAATACCCACTGGTTTCTCTGGGATTTAAGTATATGCTTAAAAGTAAACATGTGTATCTTACTGATCTCTCAAATAAGCACACTGCTTTCCAGCTGTTAACTAGTTCCAGTTACAGCCTTGGTGTGTGTGAGGTACTTCTACTCAAGAGGAAGTACACCTACACCTAAAGGAAAACAAAACACAAAAAGAGGGGTACTGAAGTAAATAAGACATTTAGGTACAAATAATTACTTTGTATTTGAGGCTGGTCAGATATTTCAGTGGTCCTGTAAAATTGATACCTTGGTGAACTAATCAGGGCTTCATCAGGGCAAAATCAAGAGCCTTCTCAGCACTTGACCATAGTCTGGAGACAGACCCAAGAATAAATAAAGCATCTGTGTAATCATAGAATCACAGACTGGTTTGGGATGAAGGAACCTTAACGCTCATCCAGTTCCAACCCCCTGCCAAGGGACACTTTCCAACAGACCAGGTTGCTCCAAGCCCCATCCAGCCTGGCCCTGAACACTGCCAGGGATGGGGCAGCCACATCTTCTCTGGGCAACGTGCCAGGGCCTCGCCACCCTCACAGGGAAGAATTTCTTCCAAATGTCTAATCTAGATCTACTCCCTTACTGGTTAAAGCCATTCCCCCTTGTCCTGTCCCTATATTCCCTTGTCAAAAGTCCCTCTCCAGATTTCTTGTAGGCACTGGAAGCTGCTCTAAGGCAGCCTTTTCTTCTCCAGGCTGAACAACCAAAGCTCCCTCAGCCTGTTTCCATAGCAGAGGTGCTCCAAACCTCTGAGCATCTTTGTGGCCTCCTCTGGATTCACTCAGGCGTGTCCACATACTTCTTATGTCAGAGGCCTCAGAGCTGAACACAGGACTGCAGGTGGGGTCTCATGAGAGTGGAGTAGAGAGGTAGAATCACCACTCTCAACCTGCTTCTCACACTCCTTTTGATGCAGCCAGGAAATGGTTTGCAGAGAATGAGCTATGCGAACATAGTAGGAGGTAATGGTTAAAAATACCTCATGCCTAGTTACATTAGAATAGGAACAAATGTCAACTTTACCAAGTTTCTGCTGCTGTCAGAGCAAATGCTTTCTACCTATATGACATCCCATGGAAAGAAGCTCTGACATAACTCAAATGCAGTGCTAGAGGAGCTTCTTTGCTTCCCATTACACTTAAAACCTGTTGACATTTAATTTCCGTTCCATTCCCCCTGATTATTGGATATCAAGGGTATCAGGGAAAACTGATAAGGGGGAAGCAAAAGATGAAAGGGTTCCAATAGCCTAAGAGAAAACTTTGGGCAGAAATATAGAGGTAGGCAGTTCCATTTGGCCTGGGTTAAAATTGAATACAGAACTTCAAGTGAAAGATCTTTGGTTTGAAGTCAAAGTTACAGGGAATTCCTTAGCTTTTGAAATCTAGCATTTGGGAGACAGAAATTCAGTAATAGACACAGACATGCCAAACACTTTCCTGTCAAGGTAGACACTGGTATACAACGTGTACTAAATTGAACGGAGCAAAAAGAGTGGAGAAGCTTTCTTTCAAGAATTTGTGCACAAGCAGAGTATTTTTCCTTGTTCAGAGGTTTAAATTCTAGAACATTTTCTTGCAGTTACTACTGAGGGAAGAAAAAGAATACATTATTTGGCACAAAACTGAAGTAGAACTAAGATTGCTATGAAATTAGAAAACAATTATTAGATTAGGTTAGTGAAGAAGTTGGTGTTGAGATTCTTTAAACAAACTTCTTTCCTCACAGATCAGGATAAAATATGAGCTCCCCAATAATGACTTTGTTTTCAGGTTAGTTACCATATAACAAGCAGTCTTTATTTCTGTAGTATGGTTTTCATGTTTTTTTATTGCAGGGTGGAGGCCAAGGAGAACAGTGATATTTGCAAGCTGGGATGCAGAGGAATTTGGTTTGTTTGGATCGACAGAATGGGCTGAGGTAAACCAAAAGTGTTCAAAGAGGAATACACACAGTGTCAGATCTTGGAGAAATCTATACTAGAAAGCAGCACTTCTTCCCTCCTTTCCTTTCTTCTTCCCTCCCTCTCCCTTTCTCTTTCTCCCTCTCCCTTAAGTTTCCTTTTGAACTACTAAGAATATATGGCTCCTTGCAGTGTATTATGTCTTTCCCTGAAATAGTTGTTACTTCTGTGGATGGGAAAATTGTTCTGAGGAAAAGCAGCTCATCAGCATTTTCTTCCTCTTTTCCTTCTCATAGGAGAATGCCAAAGTATTGCAAGCTCGGGGAGTGGCTTATATCAATGCAGATTCCTCCATCGAAGGTACATAGTTTTTGGTTGTCTTCTGCAGGAATAGTGATGGTATGTACGGATGACTGGGAGGCATTTTAGCTTGGACATAGATCCAGAAGAGCTTCAGTGTGGTAATATTTTTGCATTAGTTTGGGAGTAGATGCAGCAGGAAACTGTGACCCAGAATCATAGAGTATCCTTCACATATTCCTGTCACTTCAGTGAAGAAGTCCCTTACAGTAGCTACACTATTTGGGAAGCCATGGGGAGGGACAAGAAGTGTTGTGCCCTGTCAGCAGTTCTATGGCAATTCTTTAGAGTCAGCTTCTCCTATTATAATGTGTGTAATAAATATAGGGATGAAGAAAAGCTCTTAAGGGTTGTTTCAAAAGCTGGGCTGTAATTCATGCTAACCAATAGAAATGCACTGAGAAGATCACAGGAGAACTCTTCAACAGGTAGAATCAGCTTGTTCCTTCTAGAGAACGTAGCTCTCTAGTCCCTTGCTTATTAACAGATAATGGCACGAGGTTTCAGCTCAGTAGAACTTGTTTCCAACCCCCAAGGGGCAGGGACACCTTTCACTAGACCAGGTTGCTCAAAGCCCCATCCAGCCTAGCCTTGAACAGTTCCAGGGAATAAACAAATATATTTGAATATATATATCCCTTTGAATAGAAATATCTTCAAATAAATAGTTTTTCCTGTTTTTCAGGAAACTACACACTGCGAGTGGATTGCACACCACTGATGTACAGACTGGTGTACAGTCTGACTAAAGAGGTAATAGCACTTGAAATTTTTAGCCAGCATGTTCTGTGCTCGCTTACTGGATGTGGCTCTGTATATAACATATGGTGTCTGGTGTTTCTTTTCTGACTGCAGTACCCCTTTTAAGTCAATAACCAAGTAACATGAGCTTTTTCCCAGGAGTGGCAAAGGGATTTCAAGCTTATGCCTTTACATTATTCAGGATAAGGTGATTTTCCTCTCCACCTGTGAAAGTACTCTGTATAAGAACAAAAGAATAAAAGAAAGCTGTGAGCTAGAGGACAGAAACAAACCCAAACCTGGCTGCCCAGTTCAACTGCTTGGGTGGCCATGGTTGGGGGAGACTCTGACTCCCTTTAGGCAGGGGAAGATTTAGGCTTGCTCCAGTGTTGTTTTCAGCATGATGTGACAGGTTTGGTCAGTGCATTCAGCTTCAGTGTACACTGTTCAATATTCAGTGGTTGTGACCATGATGCTCACATACATATTTCTGTGGCAAACAAACTTAAAAGGTAGGGACCTTTCTCAGGAAATAGCCTCACCATCTTCTATGTCAGATGTTCCTTGCTTTTAGAGTAGGTCTTACAGCACTGAGGGTTTTTATTTATTTATTTTTTCTTCTGTTCATTCTGTATTAAAGAGTGAACATTTAATTAGTCTTCTTTGTGTATGTTTTGTATACATCTATAATGTACCTTCAACTACTGTATGTATTCCATGAATCTACTATATCTGTCTTCATCTGCTGTGTATATATTCAGTCAAAAGTCTTTTCCAGGGTTGATAATTTGTTCTCTTCTGGAAGGTGGCAGTAGACTGGTACAAAAGTCAAAGAAATGTAGTAATTCAGTGTAACCGTTTTCTGGCAACTGAAAGCCAAATAAATTTTAACTCTCTTAAAATAATTAAATAAATAAAACAAAAAAAGATAAAGCTATTTCTGTCCTGCACTGCAGAAGAGCTGATCACTTGCAGTTCCCATGCTGAGTGCAGGTGTTCAGAACATTCACAAAATCAGGTCAGGAGAGTCTCAGTTTGGACACCAAAAGCCACCCTTAAAAAACGTTGACCTAAATACCAGTAAACACGGTTGTGTAACCCTTTCTGGAGCTGGGAAGCAGCAACAAAGGCTAATGAATGCATGTTGGTAGCTGATGTCTGAAGAGAATGCTGATCAGGAAGCAGGTCCGTGTGATCACATCCAAAATTAATCTGTGGCAAAAGGAGTTTACACTATTAACTCTGTTCTATGAACAATTAACTTCATGACCAAAACCCAAAATGTATTAGTTTTACTTTGATTCCTATTGTGGAATTCTTGGATAGTAGATACAAATATTAATAGTAGAATAGATATTAATAAACTTTAATAGATTATAGATAATAGATATTCATAAAATTTAATGGATTGTAGATAATAAAACCTCAGCAGTCCCCCAGTATAATGGAAAGATGAAAAAATAATGTTTAAGCTGCTCAGTAATCTGCAAAGTAGTGAGAGTGACAGGAATGAACTTTATGATGATCATTATTTGTATACCTCTGTAGCAGCTATGGTGACATAAACACCCAGTACACTTTGCCCTTCTAAGATTACTTCTGCATCCATGAGAATAATTTTTGTGAACTAAAACAAGGTAGGAACAATTTTGAATTAAGCCAAGACAAAACTGGAATTTCCTGTCAAAGTGAAAGTAAGTTTTGGTTTTGTGAGTGATTTCTGTGTTGAATATTGAAATTAAATTGCTTAAAATCTCATAAAGAAATAATCGGATTGAAATTATTGACTCTCAATGTTTTACTTTCACTGTGTTTTCTTCCATCTAAAATGTTCTATTTTCAACAAATAAACAAATGCTAAGCATTTGAAATATTAAAGTGGAAGTGCAGGAAGGTTGAAGGACTTGAGACCATGACTTATTCACTGCCCTGAGCCATAGGCTTTACATGATGACAGCTTGTATATGTGTTGCTTGGTAACATTTAAAATTGTACCCTTTGTCTTTTTTTACCATACGTTTTTCTAGATACCAAGTCCTGATGAGGGGTTTGAAGGAAAATCTCTTTATGAGAGCTGGTATAAAAAGAATCCATCAAGAGAATATAAAGAGGTCCCGAGGTCAGTGGCAAAAGAAACTAAACAATATACCAAAAGTTGTTATAGCTTGTAGAGTTGGGTTTTATAGAAATACCCACTTCAAAGGCTGAGCACCTGAAAGAAATGGTGTGGTTCTCAGCTGTTACAAATTGCAAAGTTTTATTGATTGCAGCTGATACAATTGTACAACAGGTTTGTGAACCTTTGCAGCATTACTGCTTTATATAGGAAAAGTGTTCCTGTAGTTTGTAGACATTTAGACAAACAAGGGTAGTACGCACAAGCCAGTGGCAGGCACACAAGATGCTGACACAGCAGCATTCCCTTGCACTTAATTTCAGTCTCCTGGAAGGCTGCTGAGTTTGGGTGGCTGGGGACCACGCCAAACAGGAATTTACAACACTGTCCTTTGAATTTACCAGAGTTTCTCTATGGAATCTCAAAGACTGATTGTATTCCATGGAGCCACGCTGGTACTGTTGTGAACTCTCTGAGCTGGGAGTTTGGGATAGTGGAAGTTCAGCCGGAGGAA